TATTTTTAATTTTTTTAACGTTTATTTATTTTTGAGACAGAGAGGGACAGAACATGAACAGGGGAAGGGCAGAGAGAGAGGGAGACACAGAATCTGAAACAGGCTCCAGGCTCTGAGCAGTCAGCACAGAGCCCGACGCGGGGCTCAAACTCACGGACTGTGAGATCATGACCTGAGCCGAAGTCGGATGCTTAACCGACCGAGCCACCCAGGTGCCCCTGCACTGTCATGTTTTAAAGTAGTCATGTTGGGGTGTAGGGTTTTAAAGAGAGGATTTTAGGAGAGAAGTGTATGTAGAGCTGAGTCATAGGAGAAACCAAAAAAAGAGATGAAGGAAGGGGCGTTTGGCTGGCTCAGTCGGTGGAGCATGCGACTCTTGATTTCGGGGCCTTGTGTTTGAACCCCACACTGGGTGTAGAGATTACTTAAATGAAGAAATAAATCTTTAAAAAAGAGAAAGATGAAGGATGTCAGTCTACAGGTATCAGCATCTCATGTTAAGGAAGTAGTGTCTTACCCATTACACTTTTGTTTTTTTATTAGCCCTTTGAGGGTCTGTTTATTATGTGAGTGTGTGTGTGCATGTGTTTTATTTATATATAATCATAAGGACTGAGCACTAAGAAATTGCATAATTTTTTTGTGTGTTTTATATACACTGTAGCTGTGGATTCAAACTCTCAAACTTTGCAACCAATAACATTGGAATTGAGAAGACGGAAAATATCAAAAGGAAGTGACGTCCCATTAAAACGTTCTCGGCTTGACAAAAATTCATGTGAGTCTCCAGTTTGTGTATGTGCGGCTAGAACTTGATGTTGATTGGGTTAGTTTCCCCTGTACTCCTGTTGTTTCCTATTTTCAATATATAGACTCTAATGCTGTTTTTGATCACAGGAGCTGATGTGGATGATTTGGGTTGGATCAGAAGGAGTTTTGCTTGAAGAAAAATAAATCCCAAAGCACAAACTATATTAATGTTGGGCTTAGTGGTGTCATCTTCATGCCCATAAACTACATTTCCATTGGAAATTTAATGGTTTAGGAAGGGACGGATTTCATATGCTAAGTGAAACTTTAAAAATGCTATTTATGGGGCACCTGAGTGGCTCCGTTGGTTAAACATCCTACCTCGGCTCAGGTCATGATCTCGTGGTTCGTGAGTTTGAGCCCCATATTGGACTGTCTTGTCAGCATGGAGCCCACTTCAGATCCTCTGTACCCCTCTCTCTCTGCCCCTCCCCTTTACATGCATGCTGTCTCTTTCTCTCTCAAAAATAAACATTAAAAAATCTTATTTATTGATTAAAAAGTGCTTTGGCTCTGAAAAGGATTTGTAATGGTTCTAAGGCTTTATAAACTTTATTGACTTTGAAAATTAGTACACAAACTTTTAAGTTGGGATGCCCTAAAATAGAACTTAGTTGTCAAGATAGGGTGTGACCTTGGAGCACCTGGGTGGCTTAGTTGGTTAAGCATCCGACTTCAGCTCAGGTCATGATCTCACAGTTCGTGAGTTCAAGCCCTGCATCGGACTCTGTGCTGACAGCTCAGAGCCTGGAGCCTGCTTCAGATTCTGTGTCTCCCTCTCTCTCTGCCCATCCCCAGCTTGTGCTGTGTCTCTTGAAAATAAATAAATGCTAAAAAAAAAATTGAAAAAAAATGGATTAAAAGATAGGGCGTGATCTCAAAACAAATTTTCAAACCATGAACAAGGATAATTCTATCCTGGCAGAGAGACTGTGCCTTTACTTAAAACTACAAATTAAGAAAGGATATTTCCTTTTATTACTGGCCTAATATTTCAGAAGTCTCTTTAAGCCCTTGTAGGGGTAACCAGCCCAGAAATTTGGAATAGCAGAGTTATTTCTTCTTCTTGGGTTCTTGACTATGCCTCTCTTAATGGTTTATAGCCCAGGAAAAGTCAAAAACCTACTCGGAAACCACTGACAAAGACTTATCGAGGAGACGGTCCTCCAGGCTGTCCACTAATGGGACGCATGAAATCCTAGATCCTGACTTGGTTGTATCAGATTTGGTTGATACGGTTAATACTGATCCTTTGCAAAACACATCATCCATTAACAAGGAATCTGAAGAAGGTGAGTCAGAATCTGTTCTGGAATTGTCTTACCAGCTTGCCTGTCTAGGAGAACCCATCTAAATCATTGTATACTACCTTCCACAAGTTTTAGATGGTGTTGAAATCAAATTTTTGAATGAGTTGCAGTGTTTATTATACTATTCTTCACTGATGATTCAGTAGACGAACTTTCTGTACACGTTTGTGATTGGTTTTGCTTGTATATGTCTGAATGTTTCGTTGGAGGTACAGTGCTTGAAGAGTCCTGTCCCTCTGTCTGTCTTTCTGGTGCTCTCTCTCTTCAGTGCTTCTGCCTTTTTGTTAACACTTCGAGAAAAATATATTCACTTTGGTCTCTTATTAGCCTTTTTCTTTGAGATGCTCACAACTCTGGCTCTATGTGCTGGAACCTGTGAATGAATTCTTGTATGCTGCGAGGTGCATGGCTTCCTATCAAAAGTCCCTGGATTTCTTAGTCTGTTGTGGGACTTTTGGTTGATTATATAAATGTGTATGTTCCCTAGGCTTTCTTTTTTTTCTTCTAGGTCAGTTGAAATCTCCTTTGGAAGCTGACCAGGTCTCATCTGCATTGACTTGCCACTCCTTTGGTGATGGATTGGGGGCTGCAGGCTTGGAGTTGAACTGCAAGTCAATGGGAGAAAACAGCATGAAGACAGAATCGGCTTCTCCTCTTGCTGAGTTACAAGAGATTTCTACTGTGGCAGGTTCCTATTTAGTGTTAAGATAATTCTCTTCTCTATATGCTTTTGCTTCTGCTTTGTGAACTAAAAAAAAAGAAGACTTTTCTAATGATGTTTTTTCACCTTTTATTAATAACCTTTCCTTATTTTAATGCTATATCCTTTTCATTTCTGATATTGCTAATTTGTGTTCCATCTCTTTTGATTAGTATAGTTAGGGATTTATCAATTTTGTTGATAGTTTCAAAGAACCAAACTTTTATCTTAATTTTCTCTATTTGTCTTTTAAATGGTCATTGATTTCTATTGCGATCTTATTTTCTTCCCTTACATTTTTCTAGAAACTTAGGTCATTGATTTTAGATCTTCTTTTCCAGTATTAACATTTAAAATTACAAACAAAATAAAATTACAAATTTCCCATTAAGCACTACTTTAGCTACATCTTACAGATTTTGATACGTTGTTGTATTTTCAGTTTCTTTCAATTTAAGATATCTTGTGATTTATTTGCTGATAATGGCTTACTTTGAAGCATGTTGTTTCATTTCCTAATATTGGACTTTTTAGAGATACCTTATTGGTACTGATTTCTAATGTAATTCCATTGTAGTCAGAGAACATACTTTGTAGGATTTCAGTCTTCTAATATTTGTTGGGATTTATTTTATGGCCAAGCATATGATCTGTCTTGGTGAATGTTCCATATATATTTGAAAAAAAAAAATGTGTGTGCTGCCATTTTATATCTGTTCTATCAGTTACCAAGAGAGGGGTGTTAAAAATCTCTAACCATGATTGTGGATTTGTCTATTTCTCCAAAGAATTCTGTCAGTTTTGCTTCATGTATTTTGGAGTTTTGTTATTAGGTGCATATGTATTTATAATTGTTATGTCCTCATGATGAATTGTCCTCTTTGTAATGTGAAATATCATGCTATTTTTGGTAATAATCTTTGACTTAAAGTCTACTTTACCTGCTATTAGTACAGGTACTTATGCTTTCTGTATGCACGGTGTATCTATTTCTATCACTTTTCTTTCTACGTAACAGTGTCTTTAAATTCAAATTGTGTCTTTTATAGGTGGCATATACCTATTTTGATTTTAACTGCAGTGTGGAGTCTGTTTACATTAAATATGAGTATTGATATTATTGCTTTTAGGTTTACTACCATTTTGCTTTTTGTTTCCTGTTTATCCTGTGTTTTGTTCTTTTCCTCCCTTCCTGTTTTTTTAGGTTAATTGAATTTTTTCAAATTTCATTTTAATTTTTTCTATTAGCTTCTAGGTATACTTCTTAGAATTTGTTTTAGAGGTTAGTGTAGGAATTATGATATATATCCTAAGCTTTTTGCAGTTTACTTTTAATATTGAACCACTTTATCTAAAACGTGTAGTCATTGAATCCTTCCCTCTTTTGTGCTCTGGTTGCCTCTTGGAAGCTGTAAAAGCCACAGAACAGTATTATAATTTTTGCTCTTAATAATTCTGTATTACAAAGGTGATGAAGACACAAGAGTCTTATTTACGCACATATTTACCATTCCCACTTCTTCATATCTTCCTGAAGATTACATTTCAGCCTGAAAACTTTCCTGTACTTTTTTCTTGTAGCGTAGGTTTCCTGGTGACAGATTCTTTTGGTTTTTGTTTATCTGGACATGACTTTATTTAACTTTCATTCTTGAAGGATATTTTCTTCACTGGGTATAGAATTTGGGGTTTACAATTTTGTTTTGTTTTTCTTTTTAAGTACTGTAAAGGTGTTGTTCATGGTCCTCTGGCCTCTGTTGTTTGTTTCTTTTTCTTTTCTTTTCTTTTCTTTTTTTTTTTTTTTGAGACAGAGACAGAGTATGAGCAGGGGAGGGGCAGAGAGAGAGGGAGACACAGAATCTGAAGCAGGCTCCAGTCTCTGAGCTGTCAGCACAGAGCTCAACGCGGGGCTCAAACTCACAGACTGTGAGATCATGACCTGAGCTGAAGTCGGACGCTTAACCGACTCAGCCACCCAGGTGCCCCTGGCCTCTGTTGTTTCTGAAGAGAAGTTAGTAATCATTCATATCATTGTTTCTGTTTGTAATGTGTTATTTTCTTTTTGGTTTCTTTTAAGATTTCTCTCTCTTTGCTTTTTAGCAGTTTGACTATAATGTATTTAGCTTTTGTGTTTTTTTTTTAAACCTACTTGAGAGTGAGTTTGAATTTGAAAATTAGTGGTTTTTGTCAAGTTTCAACCATTATTTCTGTGAATATTGTGTCCCATTCTCTCTGTCTTCTTTGGTGATTCACATTATGCTTATGTTAGACCTTTTGATATTGTGCCACAGGTCCTTGGGATTTGTTGATTTTTTCTTTTCTTTTTCACTCTTTTCCTCCTCTTTTTCCCCTCTTTTTCAGATTGAATAATTTCTGTTTTCAAATTCTTTCTTCTCTTGATTCCAATCTGCTCTTAACCCCATCCTGTGAATTTTTTTATTTTTTATGCTTTTTTAGTTCTAGAATTCCCTTTTTTCTCACTAGACTCTCTGCTGAGATGTTGGGAGTCTATTCATTATGAGTGTAGTTTTTATAGTTGCATTAAAGTCCCTGATAATCTACCACCTAGATTATCTTGAAGCTAATCTCCATTGATCTTTCTCTTGACTATAGGTCACATTTTCCCTTTTCTTCATGTGTCTAATGTTTTGGATTGCATCCTGCACATGGTGTCTGATATGTTGTAGAGCCTGGCTTATGTTTTTTCCTCTGAAGAATGCTGATCTCTTTGTTTGAAAGGGCAATTAATTTGGCTGAACTCACATTCCAAATTCTTTTTCTCTGCAGGGGACAGTAGCCGAAACTTTTGCTCAGTTCTTTTAGCTTTAATTGGGCTGCTTGAAACTGTTCATTCAAAGATCAGCCAGAGATTTAGGCAGAGTTTATGTGTAGAAATTGAAGCCACCCTTTTGTGACTCTCTTCTTTTTTAGGACTTTCTCCCTCCTTTGCCAGCTGTTGTAGTTGTACTGAAGTTTGCCTTTTGTTTCTTGAACCAGTAAGTCTAAAGATGTCTTACTTGAGTTTTAGCTGCCCAGTGTTACTGACTGGAGCCTGCCTTTAGGTGAAAAGACTTAAGAGATGGGAAAGTTACCTAGCGCCCTTCTCTTATTCCAAATATACAACTCCTGTTTCTGCCTGCTTTTTGTTGCTCTTTATTGCCTTTTCATATTTGTTTTTAAATATTTTTTCCAGTTTATAATGGTTGCATGCAAAAGGGATGTTCTAGTATGAGCTATTCTATCATTACTGAAAGAGAAAACTTTACGTTATGGTAATAGACAGCTTAGGAAGTTGTACACGTTTATGTCTACAGAGATTTTTTTTTTTTTTTTTTAAAGTAGTGATTGCTTGTTGCATTAATAGCTACTTGGATGTTACATTTCTATAATGTTATGTTTGTGGTAAATGTTCAGAGTCCGGGATGGTGCTGACCATGAATAAATCTTGATCTTTGCCTTTTAAAGTGAAGAACATCTAAACCACTTTTTTGTGTGTATGTGTATTTATTTTTTATTTTCCTTTTAAAAAAGCAGTAAAAAAATAATATATACTGTTCATAAAAATGTCAATATAGAGGTATTAGGAGTTAAAGTGAGAAGTGTCTTCTATCTTGCTCCTTTTCTCCTTGGATAACCCTCTTATTATTAGTTTGTTATTTTTCTAGATCCTTTTCTATATGTTTATAGGTAGGGAGGCAATTAAGATTTTATTATTTAATTTAAATTAAATTTAATTTAGATGTAATTGGGTTAATTCTAGGCTTATTGTTTTCTGACTTATTTTCAGTTTTCTTGAGATCTATCTTTGTAAGTACACTTGTTTCATTCTTTTTAATGATAGAGTAATGGTGTCTTGTAAGAATGTTCCATCATATATTTAGCCATTTCCCTTTTGACAGACATTTAGAGTGTTTCTGAGCAGTTGATATTTCAAACAATGATGGCAATGGTATTCCTTGAACATACATAAATATATATCTGCACTGTATATACACATATATTTTAAATTTATTTTGAGAGAGAGAGAGTGCACAAGTAGGAGAGGGGCAGAGGGAGAAGGAGAGAGAGAATACCATACAGGTTCTGCGTTGCCAGCACAGAGCCCCATCTGAGGCTCGAACTCAGGAATCATGAGAACGTGACCTGAGCCGAAATCAAGAGTTGGATGCCTAACCGACTGAGCCACTGAGGTGCCCCACCTTGAACATGTATTTTTGACCACTTGGTGAATAGCCTTTAAGGATAACTTGCTGTGAGTGTAATTGCTGGGTTTGAGAGAATGTACATTTTCAGTTGCATTAACAAATTACCCTCCAAAGACCATTCTACTTAATATTTTGACCAAGAGTATGATAGAGTACATTTTCCCTTACATCATTGCTTTCTATGGATATTATACATCTTTTAAATTTTCTTTATGTTAATATTGGAAATAAGACTTTGTCTTTTAAGCTCTGTGTTTTTTTTAAATGGGAGTAAGCAGTTTTTCATGGGTTTATTGAATATTTTAATCTTCTGTAAATTGTCTTTATTGCATTTTATTTGCCCATTTCCTGTTGGGTTGTTTGTTTTTATTATGGATTTGCCAGGTTTCCTTTGTATAGTTTTGATGTTGATATTTTGTCTTTTCTATACATTATTCTTTACATTATACTATAATGTATTCTATACATTATACTTTAATTTCTCTTGGTCATTTGTCTTTTATATATTGTAACTTACAACACTGAAATTAAAAAAAAATTTAAATGTTTATTTATTTTGAAAGAGAGAGAGAACGTGTGTGTGAGCAGGGGAAGGGCAGAGAGACAGGGGGAGAGAGAATCGCAACCAGGCTCTGTGCTGCCAGCGCAGAGCTGGATGTGGGGCTCAGTTTCCTGAACCATGAGATCATGACCTGAGCCAAAATCAAGAGTCAAATGCTTAACCTACTAAGCGACCCAGGTGCCCCTGAAATTAAAATTTTAAATGTACTGTATTTTCCTTCA